AGTCTTTGAAAGTTCATTATTGAACATAATCAGTCCTGCATATTTTTCCGCGAATGATCACATCAGCCAGAGCGCCTTTGAGACCTGAGAGCAGCAATATCTCTTCCACAGTCTTCTTTGAAACTTGAAAAATTAAAGTCTGAATGACTGGCAAGTCGCTGGGGTAAATAGCAGTCATGAATTGGTTCAGGCTCCAGTCCTGCCAGCTGTCAAAATGGTGCCCTCGGTAAAAAGTCGCGGCGAGAGCTACCCCCCCCGTTGGGGGGTAGCTCTCGCCAGGCAAAGCTGGGTTCGCCTGGCGAGGGCCACCCCCACCGTTGATGCCCGTGTGGCGAGGGCTACCCTGCCCGTGACGGATCCGTAGCGGGGGGGGTCCCTCTCGCCAAGCGAATCTAGAATTGCCTGGCGAGCCTCCCCCCCCAACGGGGGGGGTAGCTCTCGCCAGCCAAACTTTCCGTGAGAAGCCAGGTTTGTCCGGCGAGGGGTGGGCGACGTTTAGCGGTTGCGTTTTGCGGGGCCGACGTTTAAGAGTTGCGTTTTTGTGGTTTTAGGGTAAGATTAAGAAATGTGTGCTGTTAACATAATACCAACGAATGTCTTCATGCATCAAATGTCAAACTTCAGTCCTCTAAGAAGTAGGCATTGATTCCGTGTCATTGTCGTTGCCCTCATTCTTCTTCTTCTTATTCTTGGCAGCTTTTCCTGAGTAGTTCAAAGATGTATCAACAGTTTTATAGATGATAATCTGTGCCAAGTCAAATCTTATAGTTGTTTGTGTCAAAGTGGGTTATAGTATGGATATTTTACTTAGTGCTTCCGAGGCACGGCGAACTCTTCTGGCTTGGTTGGCCATATTCGATGCTTTGGCTGATGGTTTGCCTCCTCGCTTCCTAACCTTACGAACATGTTGTTCGATAGCTGCTGGTCCAGTAGGCATCTCGTCTGTCTGCAACTGTAACTGCCGCATGATTTCTTCCAACCAGTCCACTGTGTCGGCGAAGGAAGCTGACGAATTCTCTTCCTTGGCCTCATCGAATACACGTTGAAGGCGGCCATTGTAGTCCCGCCATGGACTTCGCGCTGGACTCATTTCTGGGAACGGGTATCTAGCGTTGTCCTGGCCGCTTAAGCTCATGCACAGTTCCAGCGACGATAAGAACAAAAGGAGTCAATTTAAACACTTCAAGTTGACATATATTGAATTCAAACAATGAGTTTCCTTGGTCAAAGGCGTCTCAGGAAAAAGAAGATCTCTTTCAATAAGTTCCCAGAGAGAGGCTGCTCCAAGTCCATAGACGTCAGCCCATGGCCACACTGTTTGTGTTTCCAACGCAGACGCAGGAAGATATTCCATAGTACCGCGCAGAAGGGCCTGTGACGACACAAGATTGACCACTGCTTGATAATCAAAACTAATCACATCCATACAATTCTCAATTCTCAATCAAGGACTCAAGGGCATAATTTTTTCATTGAAACGTGTCAGCCATTTATTCTAGCCAAACGGCATGACTTCCTTTGACAGCCAGTCCAAAGTCGCCCAGTTTTGCATTGTCATCACTTGTCAGAAATATATTAGCTGGTTTGATGTCACAGTGAAGTATTTCGTGACCTTGGCTTGATTGAAAACAACGGTCTTTGACTAAATAATGACATCGTATCATGAAAAAAAACTTGAATTTCTTAGTAAATGAGCCTCAGGCAAACTTCAATGACAAGAGACTGTGCATGAAGTGGATGCCTCCCATGCATTGATGGATCCATTTCCTGCATTTGAGCAAACGATGACGACATGCAAAATGCACACATGTCAAAAAATCAACTGCAGTCAGTCCTTACTATGGAGTTCAAAATTTATGCAAACCGACAACAAATTTATCAAATGCAGGCAGGCCACAGGATGAGTTCTGCTGCAAGAGTCGGCCCTCCATAAATCCGGCTGTGAACATCTCCTCCACCGCAAAACTCCATCTCCACGTACGCTGAGTCTGGATCAGAGGTTCGCCACACCTTGAACATCTGGATCAATGATGGGTGCCTCAGCTTTGCCATTTTCTTTCCTTCTTCTAAGAGCTCCTCATGCGCGTTGGGGGTGAACTTGACCACGCGTAGTTGCCCGTCTGCGTGTTTACCCTTGTAAACCACACCAAAGCCACCTTCACCAAGTCTCTTGACATCCGTGAATCTCGAGGAACGCATGATTCTCAGGAAGTCTATTTCGCCAAGCGCATTAGGCTCGACATCGGCGTGTGGCATGCCGGCAAAGCTCAATGAAAGCGGTTTGGTAAGTATCACGGAAGTATGCCGTGAACTGCCATGAATTGCGTTTTTCAACTTGGCTTGACTTCTTCAAATGACATCGGCTTGATCTAAGAAACGGCTTTTGAGAGCAGAAACAATTTGCAGAATTGCAGAATCAGCTTTTGTCATCAAATGACATTGTGAATTTGCAGAAACTCAGCTTGTGTAACTTCAGAGCCCGATAAAGCCCGGCATCAGCCGGGCCTCGTCGGGCTCTGAAGTCATTTAACGTTCTATACCAGAAAAAGCAAGCTGCGCGCAAGATAGGCATTGTTTGAGCTCGCACGGCATATCCATGAGGCGGTTGCCCATGGGTTGAATCCAATAAACATGCGCTGATATCCATCCCTCAATGCATGATCGCCATCATCATCGCCCCATCACCGCCACATTCATCACCGCCATCGTCGCCCCATCACCGCCGGCCACTCATCACCTTGATCTTTACCAGGTTTGGCTCCAGTGGCTGGCTGGCTCGAGCGGCTCTTGAAAAGCACGTTCATTGCTTGGCATCAAAATGAATTAAGTCTGAGATGAACATGTTCAGCTCTTGAGCCTCTGAATGAAAAAGCAGCAGGTGTTCATTTACCATTCTTCTAGAAATGAAGACAAAGCTTTATGAACGCTATTCAGCCAACCATGGCCAAATGGATTAGAACTTATGCAATGGGCAGGACAATGTATGAATACAACAAAACAAACCCATCTTGACTTCAATGACGCAATCATACATCATATTTTCACCTGGCCCCACCGAGGTGTTCCCTGTATGCCGCATTTACGGCTTGTAGTAACCAGAGTTCTTGAAGTCCATCTTGGAAATACTTTCCAAGAAAGAGGACTTGCAATGATGCCCCGCATCATCCCCGCCAACAACCTTGGCCCGCGCAGCTTCAGTCGTGGTGACCAACTTGATAGTGGCATCGGACCTGTTATCTGCCGGCTTCCACTTGCTGCCTCGAACATTGAAAGCACGCATCACTGTGCCCTCAAAGTCTGGATGTTTTTGATGGAACTGGCTGCTGAAGAAGACCCTTTGCCTTGTGTTGATGGATGCCTTGAACTTGACAAGAAAGCCTGGCTTACCTTGCAAAAGTGAGCCATCCAAGACTCTGAGGCCGAACAAAGCGGCAAAGAGCTTCACGCGTTCTGACAAGGTGGTGCAGTCAGGGACTGCAAAAAGAGTTGCTTCTTTGCGTTCAGTGACTGCAAATAAGTTGTGTTTCATCAGCGAGACTTCTACTTCAGGATCGTTCTGCAGGGTCGAATCCACCCAAATCTTTTGGCCAGTCAGGATGTCCCAATCCATTGGGCCATTCATCTTGGACGCCATCTCATTGAACGACTTATTCCCACGCACCAGCTCTTTGTCCTGCTTCTTCTCCTTTTCCAAGGCGAGGGCTAGATCAGCTTCATCAATTTCTGATTCATCCAGCAGGCCATCACGGAAGCCCTCAACGACCCGCCGGGTTTGCTTGCCTTTCTGAAACTGAAACTCTTTTTCATGACCCTCGCCCCAAAGAGCAGCCACTTGGCTATCTTGACTTGGGTTCAAATCCAAGTCAAAGGACAACGACAAGGCATCATCCAAACCAAGCATAGCGTCGTTCACCTGGTTGTGCCTCAGTCTTTTGAAGCCAGCCTCTGTGCGGGGATCTTCGTCAGGTCCAGGAGGGCGCTTCACTGACTTGTCGACTCTCTTTTTCACATGCGTGCGGGTGGTGCCTCAGATGAATGAAACATACAAATAGTGGCCAGAATAACCACGCCCTATGAAACAACAAACATTGATAAGACTTCAAGGCACCCACATGGCATCGACTGTACAGCTGCAGAGCCTTCTTCACTGTATCATTCATGTCCACCTGGCTTGTTTTGCAAAGTAACATTCGCAAGGCCCGGTCTTCAAATTCTGCGGATGCAGGTGTTTGTCCGCACGTCTTCATTCTCTCGGACTTTGCAAAGTTCTGCTCAACCCCACTCGTGGATGCCTGCCAAGCAAGGTATCGGTACATCACTGGGGCCAGGTCTGAGATGGGGTAAGACTCCTGTGAACGTGATGCGGTTTCAAAAAAGAAAGGCACGCTCATAGATGGTTAATTGATAAAGTGCATTTCAACATCAATTAAAACAATTCGATCCAATCAATCTAGTCAACGCAACATTTTTAAAACAAAGACATAGTTTGACCTTGCTGCTGTCCTTCATTGATCCCCTGTTTTGAGTAGCCAACATGGTGGCTACCCAAGCATCTTTCGCGCTGGAATGGCTTTCTTTGCAATGCTTCTGGGCTAAAGGTCGGAGCCGATCCAGTTGATCCTTCAGTCCACCGGAGCTCACATTGAAGAAGCTGGCCACTCTGTCAATGCTCTCATTCTCAGCACTCTGGAAGAATGTTCTTGTCTTGGCCAA